AATTATGAAAGTGTGGCTTTCAAAGTAGGTAGCAAACACATTTTGGGTAAATTTATGGTGTTCAGTTGACAATCAATTTATTTGAGCACTGACCTTCAGTGCTGTGGAACTAAACTCTCTGTGCTTCTGGTCGAAAGAGGAAGCATACTCTGAAATTGTACTTTCTCTCCATTGCTTAGCATACTGAAAGAAATAAGCTGGCCTGCTTTCCCTCAGCTTCCATGGCAACATGCTACTCTGGTCACAACAACTTTTCAGAACCTGCACTCTTCATAGAAGACCACACAACCATGGACCCTTCGCTTTTTACTGCACTCTCCACTCAGCCCGTCATTCAGCCAGTCTGTAATGTGCATGACAACTTCTGTCAGTAGCATTACCTCTCTGTCTAAATCCTGTGCAGTTCTTTGTCTCCCACTGTGTTCATTCCTACCTGGTCTTTTCATCCAACCCTCCACAGCCTCATGGGAAATGAATGTAAGTATGAAGGTGCCATAACTATTTATGCTACTTTGGAAATTTCTGCTCTTAAAAAATATTCCCTTCAAACCTCAAATCTGAAGTATTTGAGACCAGTTCACTCTATCCATACCAATGGTAGAGGAAAAAAAAATTATGTAATTTGATTGATGGTTCCCTAGCTTGACTTGAGCTTGTGAGTTATTTAAATGTTTCTCTGCTTTTAGTGTCTCGTGGCTCCATTTTCTCATGTCCCTTTCTATTCACTCTAGGTCTCAGTTGTATACATTCAAGGATTTTGAAGATTTACCTCTAGTATAAATTTGATTGAAACTGTTTCAGAGTACTTCCACTAAACTATCTTTATACTTCTTTAATAGTAATGTTTTCATAGAATTTTGAAATGATTAATTTTCTCCATCCCAGAAATATTTGATAGATTGTTTCATCACATTGTTCTTTCTATCCAAATGAATTAGTGTATTTTCCCATTAACCTTAGGGTGCTGAGACTAGCACGGAACCTTTATCACCCGACCATTACAGGTTCTTCTTTTCCAGAGGTCTCAGCATGCCTACAAGCATACATTTTAAAATCTACTTCTAATGCTTCTTCCAACTGTTCAGCATTACCCAGGTCTGAGGAGTTGATGAGGCTGAATGAATATTAGGAAAATGTTTAATTGGCCACTATAAACACCTATTATTGTAACACAGAGGAAGCCCTTCATGACTCTTCTAGAAGTTTTTGAAAGATGTGCTTTGTGGTTACTTGAATTTAATTTTCTATGCAAATACCATTCCCGTTCTGTTAAGATAACCCTACCTCTGAGTGAATCAGTCACATTATTTTCAACTTCGAACAAAGTGGTAGATTTTCCAACACATCTGGTTAGAGTTCACAGCACCATTTCAGCACTGAAAATCAATTGCTTTACTGAGGACATCCAACACCTAAGGTTGTACCTGGCATACCATAGATGATCATTACAGTTCTTGGGGCAGATCCTGCTGTGCTGTGCTATGCTGAGTCTGTTTCGTTGGGTCTCTTGATCATGAATGAGCATTGGAGTTAATGTGTTTTTAGTATGTCACTTTGCACTCCTCTCCAGGGTCTTAGATGGTTTCGAAGTGCTGTGCTAGAATCTTGTATTTTCTTCCCTCTCTTCATGGCATGAGACAAGAGCAAAACTCACACATCCTCAAATGTGAAACACTGATATTTTTTGATTTAGAAAGTTATTATAACCATAGACACAACAGGAACTTGAAAAGGAAAACATGTGAATTAATATAGCCTTAAGTATTCTCTCTGTATTAAAGGGTTTTTGTTATAAAGATCTGGCACAGTAGAATTTCAAAATGGTGGTTGAGTTATAGGGCAAGAATCTGATGGATTGATGATTATGTTTATCCCTGGAGTATATTTATGTTGGTAACTGCTAACCTTTTATTTAAATAAAACCAATATATCAATTAGCAGTAGAAAACACATACTCTGCCCACACCTAAAGCACATCGCCCTTCACAGACTTCAACATGGAAGAAAGTCAACTTCAAAATGTTGATAAAGCTGTACTTCAGTATGCTCTACTGATTAGAAAATATGAGCTGGAGAGATGGCTCAGAGGTTATCAATGCTCTATCCGGCCCATCGTTCCGATCCCAGGACCCACTTCAAGATACTCACAAATGCCTACACCGTCAGGTCCATAGGGTCTGATGACCCCCTCCTGGCTTCTGTGTGAATGTACACACACACACACACACACACACACACACACACACACACACACACACACAAATTAAGTAAAAGTCGTGTTTAAACAAACAAACAAAACTTGAATTACAAGTCTTCTCAAAGCAGAAAGCTAGAAGGCAAACAGCAAGGAAGGTAGGAAGGCGGGGAGGAAGGAAAGAAGGATAGAGAGGAAGGTGCCTTGGTCAGTGTGAGCACACTATTACACAGTTAGTTGAAGCAGACCTACCCTACATACCCTTCTCATTAAGTTGGACCTGTGAAAAAGGAAAGGAATGTACAGCAAGATTGTAAATGTAAAGATTGGAATGTAAACTGTTTTTCATCTTAAAGATTCTGTGAATGTTTGGAATGACTTTTGTAGATGAGATAGCTCATTTGATGTTGGAATAGATCCCATGTGACATTGTAAATCTAGTATGTTTGGTGCAAATGACCTTAAGAGTGAGTCTGAAAAATACATGCTAAGGATATTGCATATTTTTATCACTGAGAGAGTCCATGTTTTTCATAGGCGTATTGTTTTATTTATAACCTTCTTATTCTTATTCTTATTCTTATTCTTATTATTTTAACATTTAAAAATTCTTGTGGTGGGGATGGTTCATACCACAGCTCATATGAGCATTTCAGAGGACAAGCTGTAGAAATGAGATATCCCCTCTTGCCATGTCGCTCTCAAGGATGGAATCCAGGAGGTTAGACTTAGTGGAAAGCACCTGCCACACTGAGCCATCTCACTGGCCCTGACCATCTTCCATTTGTAATTACAATTCGTCTTGAGTGCTGATTGAGCACACAGATAAAAAAAAGACATTAATCCAACAGCTCTGATGCATGTAACCCTTGACCCAAGCTGAGCTTATGTTAGAAGGAAATTATCAGCATTACCAAGAAAAAAGCCAAAGAAAGGGAAATGTGATTATTGGGGAGGATTTTTTTTCTTATAAACTTTAGGAATTCTTCAAATGACTTAGATCTTGTTTGGGAAACAAGATCACATTGTGATACTGGCAACTGTAGAGCAGCCCTGCCTTTGAAGCAATTCAAGTAGGTGATTTGTCTAAGTTATAGAGAGATATGCTCAGGGCTGGGTACTTCTTAGCTTCAAGTGGATTGACATAATATCAATATTTTTAATTTTTATAAAATTTAATATGTGTGTATGTATGTGTGACTCTGTGTGAGTATATGTGTATGTGAGTGAGTACTAGCAGAGTCCAGAAGAAGACATTGGATCCCCCTTGAGCTGGAGTTACAGTTAGCTGTGAACCCCCTACATAGATTCTGGGAACTGACCTGGGTCAAGCAAACAGTAATCTTCCGACAGACCTATCTCTCCAGCCCTATAATATAAGCCCTCTTAATAAGTTATTGCCCAAAATAACTTTCCCTGCATCTGATGGCCTCTGGAACTGACTTTTATTCTTAGGTGTTTTAGGCTGGAGCAAAGGAGAAAGGATTCTACTTCCCACTTTAGTCATACTGAAAGTAACCTTTCTCCAAGTAGTCACAGAGCTGAAAGGCCTAAGCAGATATTTTCAAGACGGCCTAACTGAAATCTTCAACTAGACATTGGGATCCTAGACTATAGTTTATGCTCACCCCCCAAGCCCACCACCATACAGATCAAGAAGTACCAGAATTAAAATAAAGTGCCCAACTTATTTTTTGTGTTACAACTAATTGCCTTTTTTAAGGACAAGAAGAAGAATATGCTTTGGAGATTTCTAATCTCTCCACTGAAGCATCAAAATTAAGTCTGGAGGAAGCATTTACCAAGGGGAATCCAGGATAGAGAAAGCATAAAGCATCATAAAATTGGTTGTGCATGCTGCCCCAAGTGGGCATTTATAAGATTTACCTCAAGAAGGGAGTAGAATCTACTTTAGGAAAGTAGAATACCTTTCCTAAAGAAAACAAATGTGAAAATAGTCATATCTCTGAGTATGAAAATAAGTCAGGCTAAGGTTTACCTAACTCAGTTGGTAGTATGTTGTCTGGCATGCACTACTAAAACCTGGTGTGATGGTACATGCTTGTACTCCTAGTACTCAGTATGTGGATGCAGGGGAGTCAGAAGTATAAAATCATCTTTAGCCATATCTCAAGTCTGAAGCTGGGATGAGAATCATGAGACACTGTCTAAAAAAAGGAATGTGGAGGGGTGGTTAGGAGGGGCTGAAGATATATGGCTATTAGTACAATGCCTGCTGGGCAAGCGTTAGGACCTAAGTTCCATCTCCAGCATTCACCAGAAAAGATGGATTAAGTTGGTACCAACTACACTATGGCAGCACGGGGAAGTTTCCAGATTCAGTGAGAGAACTTATTTAAAAAACTAAAGGGGAAAGCAATTAACGATGACATCCAACTTTCTGAACCTCTGAACTACACATGTGTGTATATGCACACGTGCATGAACACATCACACACACACACACCCCGGGCCAGGGTAATTCAAAGCCACTGCTATTGCTAATGTGAAATCATTTTGTTTACATGTCTTTGTAGTCTGAAAGAACAGCTTTTTTCTAGGAACGTATGCAAAATAAACAGCCCTTGGTTTGGACATGCCCTCCTGGAATCTGGTAAGGGAGATGTGTTTTCCCTCTACTAGAATGTTGGGAAACCAACTTGAAACTCCAGCCCTTCCCCTGGATGAGGTTCAGTGATATGGGGTGAAGGAATGGATCCCCCCTCCACACACACACACATGCTATGATGAATCAGTGATGACTTACATAGTCACCTATCTGTGAACTCAGTCACAAGGCCAAGGCTGGTTGCTAAGATCTTTTTAATGATGACATTGCCAGTGAGTTCATGTCTTAATACTTTCCTGGGACCTACAGCTTGCTCCCTTGTGCAGGGCTTTTATATAACCTGCTTCAGTGCTTTTTTCGAGCTGGACCCTTGACTGGGTGTTTGATATTGCCTGCGACTTCCTTGTCTGGTGATTCCTCTTGCACCGTTGCACTCACCAGCCTAGCACACAAGGGCAACTCTCCTTCAGGAAGGAAGTGTGTCTGTGTGCCGGTGGTGCCAATCACCAGCACATCTTTCTTCAGGTCAATGGAACACTGATGCCTCCTGAGCATATCAAGCCCTAGAAGGATATCCATGGGCTGCTCCTCCAGTATGGAGAAAGAGCACTGTAAGAAATCACCTTCAATCTGAATCTGGGCCAGATGAACTCGGCCTACAATCCTCTGTGTGCCCACTCCCTTAGCAACCCCAGCCCATCGCCGGTCCACCAGTCTCATGATGTGACATCTCTCAGCACAAGCTTGGCTCATGATAGTCATCTGGGCACCTGAGTCGACAAACGCCTTTAAAGGATGCCCATTCACTTTGCAGTTAATATAGAGCATAGCCACTTGTCCAAAACTCTCCGGAGCCTCTTCCATAGCTATGTTCATATTTTCCTCAATATTCTGCTGTCTGATTTCTTCTTCTATTCTAGCCTGAGCTTCCTGATCAAATGGGTCAGCAGAATAAAGACGAAACATCTCTTGTTCTCTCAAGGCCCTTTCCCTCTGCTGCTCCATCAGGACCTGAGAAAATGTCTCAAGGTTTCCACTAAGCAGAGCTTCCGCCAAGGCGGGGTTCCGTTCCTTCAACAGGGACAAGTCATGGGGGTTGGAAAGCAACATGCTGCGAATCAGAGCAGGGCTGTCCAGGTTCTGCGCATAGGCCATATTCTCTCCAGAGGCCAATCCGTGGGCTTGTGCTGATGGTATACGTTGCTGATGGTGATGATGGTGATGATGCTGATGATGCTGATGATGCTGATGCTGATGCTGATGCTGATGTTGGTGTCGGGAACTTGATGTTCCCGGTATGGCTGACCCATTGAAATCTGCTCGTGGCTGGTTTGGGGTCCTTCCTGGAGCCCGAAGTCCCACATTTTCCTTCTGAAGTAGTACAACCATATCACCATCTTTGAAGCCATAGGTGCCCAGGGAGCAGTGATCATCTGTAAGGAGCTGTTCCATGTAGATGAACTGAATCTCCTCAGCAGGCACACCAGACTCAAGTTCACAGAGGACTCTGAAGTTGCAGAGCTCAAAGTCAGGGCTGACCTGGAGGGAAAAGGTTACCTCTGTGAGGTCCCTACGCACACAGTACACAGTTATCAGCATGGTGCACACTCAGGAAAGCCACTTTGGCAGAAAACAGTTGGTAGATCAATTGGTGCTGGTTTGGGCGAATGGCTGGCCGGCCCCACAACACCTTGATATGAAACTCATTCAATTCTCAGAAAGGCAAAGCCAGTGGCCAGAATAGGGGCTGCCTCCCAGCCTCAGTGCCAGCTGATGGCCCCATTGAGCCTCAAGGTAACAAGTCCATGTGTGTATGTGCTGTTTGGAACTTAGAATGTCTGTTTCCATAGAAATGGTTAGTCAAAGCCGGGGGGTTCCAAGCCAGGCTCTTCAAAGCCTGCTTAGCACAGGCTGTGCAGAACATCTGAAGTCTCTTAAACATGTTACTATTCAGTCTGTTTACTGTAGACCTGTATTCTACATACTTGTTTTTGTCTCTGAAACAGTGCAGGTGTGACTTGGACATGACAAGGACCATGCTGTATGCTTAGTAGGACACATAGGTGCCTGCCATTGAGGGTAGTAGATGAGTAAATCATGACCCGGGGGTGGGGCATCGTGTCTTTTGCCCTGTCAACCATACAGAGATTGAATCCACTAAAGAAATGATGAGCTGAATGCAGGAGGAACATTTTTCTGGATGAGAAAAGGTTAGTCCTTCAGACAAATTGAGAGACAAAGGACAAAGAGGAAGAACCGGAACTTGTGGTAGGAAGGAAATGGAGAGGAATAACAAGGATTTGAGACATATTATGATTGCTGTTGTTTTCATTGAATTGACATATAAAAAGGAGCTTCTTGCAGCATATGAAGGATATTGGGTGGGGGCAAAACAGCTGCTCAGGAAGCTGGGGAAGGGGGCATACTGATAGGGCTTGAAAGCCGAAGACTAAGTAATGGGAAGAGCGGTGTCCTTGGTTAGATGGCCACCATTGATGTGGGTCACATCAAAGACAAAGTTTACATGCAAAAACAGGAAGTCTCTAAAGTGGAAGGCTGGGTAGAAATAGGCCATTGCCTTGCCCAGATGAGTGAAATGAACCTCTGAGGAAACCAGTTCGACACTGATTCTATAGTAAAGTACGTGGCAACCCAGAAGCTAAATATGTCTCTCTCCGACCTTGAGCAGCCCCACCACCCAAACGTGCACCTACCTCAAAGTAGAGACTGAAGACAAGGGTGATTGGGAAGAACTCTTGTGTACCCATTTTTCTTGATTTTAAAATGTTCTGTGCTATAAAGAGTTCACAGGTCTCTGGCTCCTCCCACCCAGGTGTCTACTTATGAACCAAAGAGTAGTCACAGTTTTGTGCCATGACCTCACATCCATATTGAGGAATTTCAGTTGTACCACATCATACATATCAGCCTAAAGAAAAGATTTTTGTTTATGTTTTAAAATTTCTGTTTCTCTTGTTTCTGTTTCAAATGAAAAACTATGTATCCCTTCTTTCTTGCTCTAATTATCTGAATGTTTCCATACTTTTTCTCCTATATTATGAATGTTGACTGTATGTATAATGGGAAGCATTAGCTGGGTTATGGGGACACAGTCATAAATGATGTGAAATGCATGTTGTGTCCTTATAGGACCTCACAGTCTAAAAGAGGGCACATGCATACACACAAATTGGGAAGGTTGGATAGGAGGAAGAAACCACAGTAGAATTCTGAATAGCCTGAAAGAAATCATTCTGAATAGCCTGAAAGAAATCATTTATCGGGAGAACAGACATGGAAGATGGTGAGGTCTGTGGAGGAGTAAAAGATTCCTGAAAGAGACAGGCTTAGCAAGATGAGGGATTGGTTCTGTGGGTGCCCAGTGGTGGAGAAGCAAGTCAGAAGGGGAGGAGGACGCCCTAGTTTAAAGAACTTTTTAATATGGGGAAATATGCAAAATTTTAGGAAAAACCATAACAAAATTTTCTGGGAAGAATATTAATTACATGGAGAAATTTCTTTTTATAGACATTTAGACCTATCCAGACATTGAATTTATTTTTCATTGCTGTTGCATGTGTATGCGTGTTCATATCTGCATGGGTGCACAGGAACATGGTGGCCAAGGGTTGCAATGAGGGCTTTTACTTGGCAACTCCTTACATATTAAGGCGGTGTCTGTCACTAAGACCTAAGCTTGCAGACTCAGCCAGTCTGATTGCCCTGGTAGAATCCCTTGGTTCCATCTCTGGGTGCAGGGATCATAGGGTGGTAACCAAGCTTGTTTGGCATCTCTTGGGTGCCAAGATCTGAACTCCTGGCCACACTACTGTGCTGCAGGTGAGTTACCCGTAGAGTCATTTGACTTCTTTACTGTCTCTGTATTCTGATGTTTTCTTAAAGTAAGTAATGGCTTCATGAGTTTGGGAACAGCTGTGATTTGGGACATCTTGTGCAAGCTATCCTGCTCCAGAAGACACTGGGAAAGCTGGTATGACTGGGATTCAGTGATTTCCTTAAGTACATGGAACATTTTGTTCTTAAAACTCTGTTAAATTATGGAGATAACGACTAGGGTTGTTTGGTGTGTGTGTGTGTGTGTGTGTGTGTGTGTGTAAGCAGCTAAAATTATTTTTGTAGGATAAAAGGTGTTTTGTGTTGTACTGTTTTTTTTTTTCTTTTGGTTTTGGTAAATCAAAAGTTGAAGGTTTTACATTAAAAGAAGCTAACATCTTTTTAAGTGTTATCATTGCCTAGATACTAGACAGAATTGAGTTTTTTGGGAGTTGTTTTGTTACCTTGCTGTAATAACTTAGTTTTTGTGGCACATTTGTGTTGTTGTAGGCTTTACTCTTTTACCTTTGACCCATAAGGAAGCAAAGAGTCTCTAGGTCTGAGCAGTTAATTCTCATCACAGGAAGGAAGGCTTGGCAGAAATAATCTGGCTTAACCACCCACCCCGCTTTTAAACCTTTTTCACAAAACAGCTGGAATCTCCAAAGCTAAACACAGTCTCCCCAGGCTATTTGGTATTCCTGGTTTGTATATTGCTTAATTCACTGAATTTACACAGCAGTATTGGTGATTCAAATACCAGATGTATAATTTTCTTAACTCAAATTTTTAATTAAAAGCATCATCTGATTATGTTGTAAACATCGCAATTATAAACACTCCCAAACATCAAATGTGCTGTAAACTCCCACTGCACAAGCCCTGTGGACTGATGACTGTAAATTTCACTGCACAGGCCCTGTGGACTGATGGGTATTGGGAACTAACCCGGTTTGCACGTGTAGCTAACTGGAGGTTATTGCAACTTCTCCAGGAATATTTTAAATATTTACTGAAATTTATTTCTTGGCAAATGTAGAACATAATTGAATCTTTCTCTGATAGTGAGACTCCTGCAAAGTCTTGTGGCTATCACTCAGAAAATTAGTTCTCATTGCATGGCCTAAACACTCAGAGACTGGGGGAGTGAACACTGATTTCATACTAGCTAAGGAAAATCAAGACATTTTTCTGTAATAAATCCATGGTAAAAGCTTCTGTATTTCACTTCTTTTTAAAACATTAATGCAGTGGTTCTCAACCTTCCTAATGCTGTGATCCTTTAATACAGTTCCTCATGTTGTGGTGATCCCCAACCATGAAATTATTTTCATTGCTACTTCATAACTGTCATTTTGCTACTGTTATGAATCATAATATGACTATCTGATATGCAGGACATCTGATATGTGACCCCCGTGAAAGAGTCACTCAACCCCAAAGGGGTTGGAACCCACAGGTTCAGAACTGCTGCCTTAATGCAACAATATCAACAAAAACTCAGATAATCAATGGTTGCACAATCAGTTGGTGTTTAAGGCATTATATATTGCTTTACAAAGCAAAATAAACATGGGGTTTATTTTTGTGAAAAAATAGAATGTCTGATTAAATTTTATGTTTTATATATATAAGAATAAAAGCCTATATAGTGCTTCTATTTGCTTACCCTGTTTAGAGTCCTTCCATTACAATCTGCCTGATGGCTCAGGATGTTGCTCAGTAGCTGTGAGGGCTGCCTAGCTCTGGGAGGCCCTGAGTTTCTTCCCTAGTACTCCGAAAGAGAGAACGTGTGCAGAGTTCAGTTCCCTAAGACCAGTGTAAGGTTAGGTCTCCTAGTAGCTGTCAGTAATCCCAGCCCTCCTAAAGCAAGCTGGAGACAGAAACAGGAGAAGCCCTGGAGACTTGTGGCTGACTAGCCTGGCATGTACTCAAAGGTAAGCAGTACCTCAAACAAGGTGGAAGGCGAGGTTTGACACTGGAAGTGTCATGGTATTGCCACACACATTCACAAACGCACACAGATATATCATATACACATTGATATCACACCCACACACATTTACAAATAAACACACACAGATATATCATATGCACATGGATATCACACACACACACACACACACACACACACACACACACACACACACACAAAACCAGTGCCAAGCATTACCTTTAAAGTGTAACCAAGACTTAAGAAGAAGTTAACTCACCACTTGAGAGTTTCAGTGAAACTTAGAACAGAAGTGGGTTGCTAGTGCAGCGCCCGTAGATTAAGAACTGTGTTCCTCCAGCTGCTTTAGATTATTGCAAGAAGGTGTGTTAGAACCACCATGAACAAATAGCGTGTGCATAATCAAATATCTATTTGCTCGACACATTAAAAAGAGAAAAGGGTTAGTCTCATCTGTCATTGAGACAAACACCACAAGACTGATGAAATACATAAGCAGATATGTAATTTAAGAAAAGCGTGAGAATTCCCATCACTCTTCAAGGAACTCAGCTCCAAGCAGCTCTTCAACCAGTGTAAGTTGGTAAGACTGAGACAGAAAGCATATGCTTGTGCACACACAGGAAGAGGAATAGAAGGAGCCCGGTATGAAACACAAGGGACAGGACACATTTATAAATGCATAGAAAGGACAATCGAAAGATTCTGTTACTCTCTTGCAAGGAATATTTCCATGGCCATCTTGATTGCTACATTTTGTAAACCCATGGTTTCTTGTGATCTCTTAACTCTAGTATAGAGATTACCTGGTCTGTGGGGCTCATGACTTGCTATCAAGATATGGATATTATTTGTAATTTCTGAAATAAACACTTACAGTTTATATAAATTAAGTGCAAGTTTGAAACACAATGAGAAAGATGTTTGGATTGACATTTGGTGGATTGATATTTATTTCTTTACTTTGATTATGTTCAGTCTACCTTAGGAGAATGTTCACATGGTCCTATTCACCATATATGGAAAATGTA